GGGATGCGAATTGTATTGTATGTGGTGTTTGATGAAAGGTTGTTTTTCGAATGGCTTTTTGTCCTCCATGAGAACAGTGGTTTTTTGTGCTGTTCGGTTTATTACCCTTATATTCGACGATCAGCGTGCACTGTGCCGCGGGAGTTGTCGCGTGGTTCATTGCTGCCTCACGGTAGCTAGGAACCGTGTTCTTATTGGTGGTGGTTTGATTGGATTGCGGAGAGGAGATAGGACGGGATGGCAGTCAGGTCGCAGTTGCTGAAGATGAGGAAACTCACCTTTAGGCACCTGTGGGGGATTAGGAGGCTCCAGAGGGTTCTGAAGCAACTTGTTGAGAGCATTATCTTGCGAATGTCAATTCCTGATAGGCATAGCGCGCGGACCAGAAGGAGTATCTTAGAGTACTTGGAGCGGAGTGAGCGACTCCTAGCAACCCTAAATAGGTTGATTCTAGCGCCCATCACTAGGTACGCAAAACGAGCGCCGAGATTGTATAAATTTAAGGTGGTCCCGGCGCTACGAAGAGTATACCGAGMCTTCCATCGTGTGTGTTYGCTARCGAGAGTARCGATTGTTAWGTTGGGRCTCAYWCTRTAACTATGCAGTCGAAYATGGGAGGRATGGCAGGACCGGGAGTACCCAACCAGGGGTTGGTCGGTCAGGGGATGGGAGGTCAGGCGATGCTTGGGCAGGGGATGATCCCTGCGGCGATGGGTGCTCCGAATAGTGCGCCGGCAGCACCATATGGCACGGTGACGTGCTATATATGCGGTAAGACCGGGCACTATTCACGGAACTGTTGGCAGGCGGCGAATCGGCAACGACCGGAGGATGATCAAGAGATGAGAGAACTGTTGAAAAAGATAGCAAAGAGAGAAGAGAACGAAGAGAAGAGAAGATTGAGATAGGCTGAGGAAGCTAGGAGGAGGGAGGAGATAGAGAAGAGGGAGGGAGACAAGCTGCGTGAGGAAGAGGCAAGGGAGGCGAAGTTGGAAGCTACGATCGTCACGATCCTGTCCCAAAGGAAGGAGCCACTGATGATCACGCCAGCGCCTCAGCAAGTCGAAGAATCAAAAAAGCGATCGCCACGTACCAAGGCTAGGATGCTTCGCGAAATAAGGAGCTACATCGTGGAATCAGATGACGATAGTGAAGAGATGAAGATAGAAGCGGAGAAGCTGGTCGAGGCCTTTGAGAATCGGAAGAAACAGAAGAAGAGCTCAGCCATCGTGCGAGAAGCTACCAGCCGAATGGTCAGGAAGAGAGCTACGCCGAAGAAAGGAAAGGAGAAGGCGGCCAAGAGTGAGGAGGTGGCCGACGATTTCGCTACGCCAAAGAAGGCATGCCCAGCTGAATGTACCAGTGAGGGAGTTGTCGAGTACACCCTCTCACAGACGAAAGTGTTGAGCGCATTAAAGGCGGGAGATATACGGAAGATCTGTGATCGGGAGGGCGTCCAATACATTGTGAAGGATCAAGCGATCGGCGAGATCGTGCGATGCAGGGTGCGACTCGCCTATGAAGGCTTTTTTGATGTGCGCAAGCAGCAGACCTCGGCGGCAAAACAAGGCGGGGCCGTGCTCAACGACCCGTGATGAATAGACCGGAGCTATCGACCCATGATGCTGTGGAGCAGGTTCGAAGGATCATTAGTAGACGAGGGTATAGAGAAGCAACGAATGCATACCCTTTGCTAATCAAGGAGGAAGAGAACGAAATTGTGTTGTTAGTACTACTGCTAGTTGTACGCGGGGTCATCCCTTGGATTAGGAAGCTGGTGAGAATCGTCAAACCCTCAAGGTTGGACGTGAATCAGCCGGGGGTGTATGCCATTGTAAGTCCGTTCTGCAGAAGGTTCTATATTGGGTGCACTGTTAGGAGGGTGATCACGAGATGGGCGGAGCATATTAGGTGCTCGAAATCGGATGGGAAAGGGAACGCACCGAAGCTGCATTCGTGGTTGAGGTTCTTCGGATGGAGAAAGTATGTCGTCCTAACGTTGGTTTGTGGAGTACAAGATGGCCTGATCATTGAGCGGTCGTTGATTCGGCGTTTCTCTCCGAACCTGAACTCCGCGTTTCTCTCCGAACCTGAACTCCGTCGGGGGTAACCATGTACCTGTGAAGAAGCGGCGGCGAGGTAGGGGACGGGGGAGAATGGGTCCGGGGCAGGGCGGACTGGTCACGTTTGTATACGAAGGAAGGACGTACGGCTCCTTGGTGGGCCTTCTGAATGATCTGTCGCGAAACCAGGAGATCCACCTGGTATCGAATGCGGGATGTGTCTGGGTAGGATCCTGGAAAGAGGTGAGGGAAAAGTACGGACAGACGGACATAATTGTCCGGGGCGAGAAGATGAAACTGAAGGCGGCTCGTCGGAAGTTAGAAGCGGGGGGTGATCTAAGGATCAGGAAGCTATCACCCACCATGTCAGGGACTCAGCGGAACTGGAGGTGGCTTCAAGATCTTCTGGCGCAACCCTGGCGGATCAGAGGGATGTATTCCCTCACGAGTAAAAAACTGACAGCTCTTTATAGGACAGCTGGTCTGTTTTCCAGGAGCACTACACGCAACTCGCTGAAAATCCGTATAGCACGCGTGGTTAAGGAAAAGTTCGGCGTTGACATTAGGAGGCGAGTGTATGTGAAGATTCCTTTTTCTGCGCAGGTAGATTTGGGATTGGTTCGTGATCTGGTGGTGAAGGTCATCACGGCGTCTGTGAAGGACATAGCCATCTGGAATCTCGTCATAGAGAAGCTTAGGATGGTGAAGACAAAGGGCAGGACCGTGGCGAGCCTCATCCATAACTATCGGAAGAAGATTGAGGCCGGACATGACCAGTGTGCATGCTCGGGCTTGGTCGCTGAGCGTTATCAAGGGCACCTTCGAGCTAGGCTCGACGCGTTCCAAGAGGTGCACCGGTTCGTTTGCAACGCGAGGAATGTGACGTGTGGCCGGTCAATGACCAGCGAACTGCTTGTTGAAGCCATCTATAGGGCCGTCCCGAAGATATGGAGAAGTAACATGGATTGCTTGACGTGCGATGAGGTAGGGAGATGCTTCAGTCGCCAGGTGACGGGTTGCATGGCACTGACAGAGAAGCAGGTCGTATGGAGTGTGCGTCATTTGCGCTCCATGATCCTGGTTCCTTTAGATAGGAATCCTGGAGCAACATTGGTGATCTGCCCGGTGCTCTACTTTCATGCGTACCGAATGACGTTCCGCTGGAGCTCTGGGTTTTTGGAGCAGAAGCTCACGGAGGAGCAGGTACTGGCGTCCTCGAAGGTAGCATACAAGGAGGCAGGGTTGAGTGACATTGCCACCTGGCGCACATGCGGGAAGCTTGGCAGGGCGTATGTAATGCCTAAAGACAAGGACTTCGGGCAGTGCCGACCGATCTCACCATCGTGGTTGGAGCCGTCGAGGACGGCAAGCGCGAGGATGGGGAGGGCGCTGCGATACATGCTTTTGTGCCTACTGAGTAGCAACCATTTTAGTCTGAGAACTACTGACGATCTCAGAAAGGCTATGGACAAAGGGGTTGCGGCATTGACTTGTGTTGGGGATACCGTCATGGGGAGGAGCTTTGACATAAAGGACATGTTTGCAAAGCTCCCCCATGACGATATCACAGCTTCTGTGATCTGGCTGATACAGATGCACAGACAGCGAGGACTGATGGGGGTAAAAATGAGTCGGAGGGGGAAGGTTTGTATGATGGCCAGATCAGTATTGAGGGAAGATGGTCATCTGTTTCTACCCTTTGAGAGGATCGTGTGTCTGTTGAGATTTGAGCTGGAACATACATTCACGATCTGTGAAGGACGGGTGTATCAACAAGTGTTTGGCATTCCAATGGGGAAGCATTCATCACCTGCCCTGGCGAACCTTCTATGTGCAAAGGCGGAATATGTCTTCCTGACTGCCTTGGGGAAGGATCGGCGACTTATTGCCGGCATTAGAATGGTTGATGATGTGTCAATTATGATTCTTTTTCTGTCCGGGCGCCAGGAAAGCTATATGAAGGCACTTGAGATAGCTGATCGCTTTACTGAGTGCTACCCTTCGTCCCCGAAACTAGTTAGGAAAGACGGATCTAGCAATGTCTGGGATTTTCTGGGGAGCAGGGTGATGTTGGAGCCGTGTCCCCCGAGGGTCCATATTCTTCCCAGGACGAAAAATCAGATGAGATTGGTGCAAGGGCATGATCTTCATTTTCACTCTATGCAGGATTTTACCTCATATACAGCCAAGAAAACGAAGCGGACGACTCTGACAGCCTCGATGATTAGGCTGTGTCGGACAGCGACCGATGAACAAGCAGCGGGGGTATCGATCATTTGCCTCGTTAGAGAAGCACGCCTCCGGGACTACCCCCCGGAGGTCTTCTTTGGATCCTTGGCTCGATTTGCCAAGGTGGTGGGTGGTCCCTGGAGATCTTGGATTTCCCAGGTCTACCCCCACCAAAATTTCGGATGGGTATTGGTGGTGGTATGTCGACACAGGGGTTTTCGATTTGGGTTCTCTCGGGTTACAGTCCGCTGGCTCCAGTAAGGCTAACCGTTTTTCAAGGATCCGAGCAGAGAATTCTCGATTCTGGGATGCCTGTTTGTGATATTGGGGGTTTCTGAATTAAGAAAGAAAATAAACAGGAAAAATAGATTAGGATTGCCGTGTTTTTCCTT